GGCGATTTGGTTTCCCAGCTCTTCCGGAATGGAATTGTTTAAGACGGTTATAGTGTCGCAGAATTTGTGGGCATGTACGATTTCTGCCAGGACTTTCTCGTCAATGATAGGATACATTTCGGCTAGCTTTTGACAAGTCATATGCGAGGCCAGATCTTGCGGAGCTTGCTTAGCCCAGCCGTTGCCCGAGTAGCACACTTTCATCACAATAAGTTACAGCAACTTGTTTATGACTGAAATAAGTCGTATATAAGTTTCTACAATTGATTTGTGACAAGCGTGCTACTAGGGTGATTTCGCTTCGGTACGCCGTTAGCGCGTACTCCATTTTCATAATGTCATTCAGGTTGGGGGAATCCTCGATGGTCATTTTGAACAAAACGGGATACTTTTCCTTCGCTTCCATTTGCTGTGCCAATCGAGCATCTTTTTTCATAAAATGGAATCCAATCTTTCATGGAATCCATGCTTTCATGGAATCCAAGAACGACAAATACAACTGTTCTGCCATTTCGGTAGCCATGAAAACCTTTGTTCGTTCACTGGTTAGTTCGTCTAAGGAGATGGCACCCGAGCCATACTTATCCTTGAAAGTGGCGTATAGCTGGCTAATGAGATTAATTCCCAACGTCACTTCCAGCACTTAGGGATCGTTTTGCAAATCTTCTGCTTCGTCTTTTCTTTTCGTTGTGTTCCGGGGTGATTTCGAGCTGACGGTAGACCGATCGATTTCATAACCCCCTCCACCACCACCACTACCGGAGGGATCACCGGAAGGCACTTGCGATACCATTGTTTCATTGCAATCACATTCAAACGCGAGTAGGCCGCCAAGCTCACCGGCTTCCAAATTATCCGCTGTCTCGAATTCGTATGTCTTTTGCTCTTCTAGCCACAGATTTGCTGTCCAATCACCATGCCCATTACAGTTCTCGAATAAATCCCACAGATACTGGACCGGAATCTGGGGATAGAGGATGCAAATTTCCGAGAAGCTAGTGTTTTCATTTTTGAATCCTCGTCTGTGCCTGACCAGAGCAATCCGTTTCTTCTTTTTGCTGGGCTTGACTTGACGTCACACCTGTGAAAATCCGTCCTCAGTCGTCTTCTTAGAACGGCCGTCCCGGTCGCGTTCTCTCCTGTGGCTTTGCAACGGCGAGTAGACGATTTTCGCAAATCCGTCCTCACTCGTATTCAGAACGGCCATCCCGGTCGCGTTCTTATCCTGTGGCCGTGCAAATCCGTCCTCACTCGTTTTCTTAGAACGGCCGTCCCAGTCGCGTTCAAATTTCCAATTTTCCTTGCAAGTGGGTGATTTGCCCTTTATTACCTATCGGTGGTCCCCAAGATTCCAGGTTCGTCTCCTGGCAGCATCGGCAGAAATGTGAAAATCCGCTGATATTTGTTATGGGCAAATCACCCACGGCGCAGCTAATTATTGTTCAACTTACCCGTGCAGCAGCTGAATCCAAAAATGACCTTTCACCAACTGACAGGAAATGTGTAAGAAAAGTCATGACCTACCTAGTTATTATCAATCTCATACCAACTATAGTATTCATAGTCTGGCGGATAGAATTTTGATCTATCAAAAAGCGGAACCAATTCAATACATTGTTGACCAACAATTGAAAAGGTTCTATCACTTTTTATAAACAAAACGTTGATTATTCTTGTCTCGCCAAACACAGGTAAATTACCAGCATCATCAGATAGGGTAAATTTTTCACTACCTAAAGATGGTTTTACTTTGTGTAGGCGAGCCTTGAGTCACGAGTAAACGGATTCCAAAATTTTGTTTGCAATAGCTGATGTGCTCTTTTCTGTTGTTGGTCGTGATTTGCTCGATTGGTTCCGCTATTTGACAGCTCAATTGGTTCCCGAGATTCTATCAGCCAGACTATGAATATAGCGACTATAATACCAACCTGTGCGCCATCCACGTCAAGCGTGTCACAATTATGCCAAAGGACATTCAGCTGGCTCGTCGTATTCGTGGTGAACGCTCTTAATTTCTCCGTCGAAATCTAACAAAACTGGCCCTTTTCCGAGCCATTAAAAGATTCCACAAGAGAGTTGGGAAGGAAATTTCTGCTGCTTTCACTGATCGCATCACAGTGAATCCTGATCTTTAAATTGCAACCAGCAAGTGCCCTAGAACCAAAAGCGGTGCGATGCTAGTTTTCATTGCTGTGACGACGACTGTAAGGGGCTTAGAAGCAGAAGGGTGAAAGCCAATTCTCTATTAATTTCCTCTTTTGTGATCACCATGGCTTCCACTAACCTATTTCGCACTATTTCTGCTATTATCTTCTATCATCCACAACAACACCATGGTATCAATGAATGTTTGCCGTCGAGTTAACGTTATCCGACCTTCTTAGTTGCTCCTGCGTGAATGATCAGAACTAATCAACTTGCACAGTGCGGTTGTTACTAGAGACCGAGAATTCCTCAACATCTCCACGGCTGTCTCGGGGATGATGGTTAGCACAACCACTAGCACAGTAAGCTAGATTATTTTTAGATCAGGATTCATGTGGTAAGTGATGCGATCGGTTAAAGCAAAATTTGTTTTTATTTAAATCTAGTGGGGATAGGATAAGGCAAAGTGAAAAATTGCAAGGATGGGGACGGGCCTGGGATTGAATCCCGACCTTCTGCTCAGTAAGCAGAAACGGTAACCACTGAGCTACCGAGCCTCGTCGTAATGCTACATCGACATGTTTCGTCTAGGAATGATTATCTGATGACTGTGTCGGGAAAGCAGCATAAGCATGTACGTAATTGGACAATGCTGGACATTTACCACTTTTTCAATAGTTTCTTGTTGAAAATCAACAGCCGGAAGCATTGTTATCGATGCGTAGCAATAATGCTGATCGATTCGTGATAAAAAATTTGAAATTGGATCAGGGGCAGCTGAGTTATTAACTTTCAAAATCTTTCACAATTCTGTTTCATGTTCCATTTTTGGTATTCACAAAGTGTACTCACATATAGAAATCACAGACGTCAAAAAATGCAATTTGAGCAATTATTTTTTTATATATATATTTTTTTTTTTGTAAATAAAATATTTTTTTACAGTATATATTTTTTTCTTGAAAGGCACAAAACTTGTCCGCAACTTCGCCGTGGACATCATCTCGATCAAACAAGGCGTTTCAAGTGTTAGTCTTGTACAAAACTAGCGAACCAAACATGTAAAATGACATGTTGGACATTAATAAACAACTGTGTAAAATAACAAGTAATTCTAAAAACATCCAAACACAAACAATTTAAATGTAAGTATTAATGCGTTGGACTGACTGTTCGATTATTGCATTGTTACCAAAATTATATATTCAAAGTTTTTTTTTTATGTTACTTCATACGCGAAATTAACGATTTTCAGAGTTGGTTGGAAATGCTAACATGAAGCTTTAGTGTGATGATCAGTGCTGTAAATTTTCATATCATTCGATTGAAGATGAACCACTACAACCATTCAATCAATTCTGTGTAAACGAATTCTCACATGACCATAATTTGAAGAGCCCCTTTCTCATTCGAAGCTCATTGTCACTGTCAATTGAGTCACTCAGTATCATTTGATATACGACAGTGGAGTATGGAAGAAATCCAGGAAAATGGTCCCGAACAGACAAGTCGACCCGATGTCGGATCAATGTAAGGCTAATTTAAGGTCGATGTCGACCCAATGTCGTGTTAATGTCGGGTCAATTTTGGGTTTATGTCGGGTCAATGTCGGGTCAACATCGGGTTGGAGTTTGATAGAAGTCAGGTTGGTGTCGGGTTGGCTTAGCTTTTTCGCCGGAATGTCGACCAGAGCTCCGTTTGTGTGTAGGTTACACTCAATCGAATGATATATCAGTGCTAACATTTGAAAACGGCACAAAAGCCATTTGTAAACAAATGGTTTGTGGGCCCTTTACTCACTACTTGAAGTACACCCACGCGACACAACAGCAACATCGGGTAGGGGAAATTTTCCCCTTCCTGACGATGCTGTTGGTTTGCGTGGGCGTTCTTCGGGTAGCGAGTAAAGGGCCCACAAACCATTTGTTTACAAATGGCTTTTGCGCCGTTTTCAAATGTTAGCACTGATATAGCGTTTCTCAAATGAGAATGATCCATGCCTTCGTCAAAAGACTAAGCAACTGATATCACCCATTCTGAGGAGGTCCCCTTTGATAGCGAATAGCTACTTTTCTCATTTTCATCAAAAATGTTCAAATGATTTTGAGAATTTACAGCACTGGTGATGATTTATTAGCTAGAGAATGATTTTTTAGAAGAGGGTAGGTGGATAGTTCCGTTAGAGTACGGCAGTATGAAAATTGAATAGAAGTTGAAAATGAGCGAAAGTCCCCGCGTACATCGTACGGGTTAGGCAAAAATGTGCGTCTATCTCTAAAAACTGTCGCATTAATGGCTCTTCGCTCATTTTCAACTTCTATTCAATTTTCATACTGCCGTACTCTAACGGAACTATCCACCTACCCTCTTCTAAAAAATCATTCTCTAGCTAATAAATCATCATACTAAAGCTTCATGTTAGCATTTCCAACCAACTCCCAAAATTATATATTAATATAATTGTGCAAGATAAACACAAAAGACACATTCTTGATTTTCCTCCATCATGCGGTCATTTCATATCAAATCAGCATGCTCTGGAAAATATGTGGGTTTCCATGGAAAGTACTTAGAATCCTACTCTGCACCAAATTACGTAATTTTCACCGAATTTTTCATTATCGCCGCTTTGCATAATCCTAGCTTAAAGCTGACATTTATTTCTCCAGATAAATAGCTGCATTAAAATTAAACCAACTACCTCCATAAACATCTGTGTTACGTAGTCATAAAAAAATAAAATGCACTCTCTGCTGGTTCTATATGCAAATTTTCGACAGAGCAAACTATGAGAAGGTATAAAAGCAGCGTAGCAAACCTTTCCGATAGCAAGTAAGCTACGAATAACGTAGGACAAACCTTTTTAAAAATGACTGCTCTTAGCTTCATACTCGTTGGGATGCTTTTCACCGCTGCATCACCTTTTCCCAGTTTGTATAACAAATACACACACAAAATTCTAAAATCTTCCAAACTTGAACATTTTTCAGCCACCACTGACGAACGGAACTATACAACACTTCCTGAACCCGGAATTTGCGGCATCAGCGTAGCGGATCGCATTATAGGAGGGAAGAAAACTGCTATCAATGCCTATCCTTGGGCTGCCCTGATGGGTGTTCCAGCTTCAGCATCACCTCGCGAAATCCAATTCTTGTGTGGGGGATCGTTGATCTCCGAACAATTTGTCCTATCAGCGGCACACTGTTTCATCCTCATTGACCCCGATGTACACGAGTATGATGAACTTCTTGTTAACGGGTTTTCGCTTGCAATCTAGTCTAATTTGTCCGTTACAGTATTGTGGTTCGTCTGGGAGAATGGGACATTGAAAGCGACGTGGATTGCATCGGGATTATTTGCGCAGATAAACCAATGGATTTTTATATTGAACTTTATCAGCTGCACGAGAGCTTCGATCCCGCTTGGAATCTTAATGATGTAGCGTTAATGAAACTACCGCGTCCTGTCGGCTTCACGGAATTCATCTCTCCGGTGTGTCTTCCTCTGTCGGAAGACTTGCAGGAAAAGCCGAAAATTGGAAGAATATTTACCGTCATTGGATGGGGTAATACCGGGAGAGTAGCGGATAAAACACGTGAGAAAATATATTCATCAGGAAAAATGGTCATAACACTTCAGTATTACAATCTTTAAGCGTTCTACGGCAGCCGGTATAAGAAGGAGACCCGCATTCCCGTTACCGACAGTGAAACGTGCGGTAGCTACAGGACTATTTCATCTTCGGAGTTTTGCGCTGAAAATAGCACAGACAGTCAAAGCTGCAAAGGAGATTCCGGTGGACCAGTGGTAGCTGCGGAAAACGATGGATACTGGTACCAGTATGGGATCGTGAGCTGGGGTTCTCCTTGCGGAGGTATGTTCGGGAATGGCAATGAGTCGGCGTTTGGCGTATTTGTCCGCGTGAGCAGTTTCCTGCCTTGGATTATGAAAACCATGCGACAATTGGGTGATACGAGTACTGCTGGTCCAACAGACGTGGAATGAACTGGTTTATAAGTTGGTATTTGTATGGTATTAAAACCAGTAGCCAGTAGGAATTTTTAAATCTCAAATTTGAAAATGTCGATGTAAAATTTATCATAATTATCATCCCATTGCATTTATAGTAAATATAATTCTTTGTTGGGAAAAACTCATGCAACAAATCATTAGAGTTATATGATGAAATACCACCAAGATTTCCCTCGATATCTATTTTTTCTACGGAACAATTAAAAAAGCAAGACATATTGTTAAATTTCACCCGGTGATCAATTTCCCCGACCTACGGTATAATTATAGCAATTCCACTAAATTACGAATCAATAGTACTCGACCTTTTTCAATTTGCAGTAGACAACATTGGTGTTTATGGCGCGTAGAATAGAGGACAAAATTCTTGGCTACTACACGGTAAGAAAAAAGTACCCAACGGAAAGTTCAGTTTTACCTACTTTAGACTAGTTTGTCTCCTTTTCTCCTTCTAATGTTGTCAAAAACGGAGGAGCAAAACCACGCAACAGGGTTAGTGGGCCCTTAGCTCAGTCGGTAAAGGCGCAGCTACAAAGCAAGACCATGCTGGAGGTGGCTGGGTGCAATTCCCGGTCCGGTCTAGGAATTTTTCGGGTTGGAAAACTTCTCGACTTCCCTGGGCATAGAAGTACTGTGATTGGACTTGCCACACAATTATACAAATGCAAAAATGGTACAGGCATCGAAAGCTCTCAATTAATAACTGTGGAAGTGCACCTAGAACACTAAGTTGAGAGCACGCAATAAGCTAATATGCGATATGCAATAAGCTTGAAATGCGAAAAAGAGGAAGAAGGGTTAGTGAAGTGTGGGAACCCAATGTTGAGTATAATCATATTTACCTACTGTTGGGTACAACTAATTTACTTTTGGTTAAAAAACCAGTGGAAAATTCCATACGAACTGCACATAAGTAAAATAAAATTACTTGGACCCGCTTTACCTACTTTTGGGTTCCTGCACTATAGTGCCGAGATGAGTGAAAATAACTAAATTTTGAGGACTTTTTTCTAACCGTGCATGTCACACTGCAGAATACAGTGTTGCCCACAATACAGTTGCATAATCTTGCCATCTTGCATTGCCTTGGGCTACAAATGGTGAGTCGACAAACTGGAAGGAGTGTTGTCCCAACAGCTCTGGTCCTCACAAGTTCCTACCTCACGCTTCCACGGGTCAGCCGATGACAAAGACCGCCAGCAAAAGATGCTGGTAGCGTAGCCTGGGCAATGTCACCACGATAAAAACATGGATCCGGATCGTGGTGATAGCAAAGTGAGGAGGTGCGACCCTCGAGCGTCTGTTCACCATGGAGGTGCGGCTCAAACAGCGTCTGTCTCGGAGCGAGCGGCTGAATAAGAAATGCTGTATCACGTCAGCTACACCTAAGGTGGCAGCCCCACCAACATGATGTAGGTATCGCGACCCCGGTAAGGTAGCATACTGAAACCCCCAACATTACTCAGAAAAACGAAGAAAGAGAAAACAACGAACGGAATTTTCGGCAACCGACCCGGCAACGAAATAAGGACAATGAATGGAAACTCGGTACTTGGAATGTCAGAACCTTAAATGAACCTGGACGAGCGGGCCTTTTGGCTCGTGAACTGCAAAAAGTGAATGTGAGCGTAGCTGCTATTCAGGAAGTACGGTGGCCTAGATCCGGAGAACGTGAATTCCGGGCGGTGGATCCCATCGCCAACACTTCCTTCAAGTATCATATCTATCACAGCGGTGGCGATAGGGCAGAACATGGAGTAGGGTTCATAGTGATCGGGAAGCAGATGAAGCGTGTTATGCGGTGGAGACCGGTAAGCGACCGCATCTGTGTATTAAGGATTCGGGGCAAATTCTTCAACTACAGCCTGATCAACATCTATGCGCCAACCAACGATAAATCCGATGACGTGAAGGACGCGTTTTATGACAGTCTCGATAAAACTTATGATGAGTGCCCAAAACACGACGTGAAGATTGTAATCGGAGATGCAAATGCGCAGGTCGGGAGGGAAGATTTCTTTCGACCAATCATTGGTACAGAGAGCCTACATACAGTAACCAATGATAACGGCCTGAAACTGATAAACTTCGCCGCTGCTAGAGGTATGGCCATCAGTAGCACCTACTTTGCACGCAAGAATATCCGAAAGCACACCTGGAGACACCCAAATGGCGAAACTTGCACCCAGATCGATCACATGTTGGTGGATGGCCGGCACTTCTCAGATGTCATTGATGTAAGGACTTTTAGGGGGCCTAACATTGACTCAGATCATTATCTTGTTGTCTGCAAAATTCGGGCGCGTCTATCGACCGTTACGAATTCAACGAACCGGAGATCGATGCGTTTCAATATCCATCGCTTGTCAGTAGAAGGTGTTGCTGCAGAGTACCGCCAGAAGCTTGATGAGCGGATTAGCGAAATCAACGTGAACGAGGACCTCAACAATCTGTGGAACACAATCCACGGAGCGGTGAACACAACAGCACAAGAAGTGATAGGTACAGCTCAAAGACGACCACGTAATGGCTGGTTTGATGAGGAGTGCCAGAGGTTGACGGATGAGAAGAACGTTGCCAGAAGCCGGATGTTAGTGTCTGGTACCCGGCTGAACAGAGAGCGGTACAAGGTAGCAAGGGCAGCTGAGAAACGAACCCACCGCAGAAAGAAAAGGCAATACGAAGAACGCGTGATTGCTGAGGCGCAAGAAAGTATGGAACAGAACGATATGCGAAGGTTCTACGCGACTGTCAATGGTGTGCGGAGTAAAACAGCGCCATCTCCCGCCATGTGCAATGACCTTGAGGGGAATTTGCTGACAGATAAAACAATGGTGGCTGCCAGGTGGAAAGAACATTTTGAGACATTGTTGAATGGAGAGAGTGAGGGAGTATCGAGGAACAGAGTAAACATCGCAGACGACGATCAAGCTGTGGAGCCTCCAACGCTAGACGAGGTTAAAAAGGCAATACGTGAGCTGAAAAACAATAAGGCTGCTGGGAAGGACGAGCTCCCGGCCGAACTTTTCAAACACGGAAGTGAGCAGCTGAATCAAGCAATCCACCGTATTCTAACGAAGATATGGGAGGACGAAGAACTGCCTGCTAAAGGGTGATACGGTCAAAATTTGGTCAATATCAACTTGACGTATTTCTTTCAATTTTGCATTTCAAAAACCTGAACACCCCTCATTTTGAAGGTGTGTGTGTGTGTAGAATGTTGCTCCTATTTTGATTTTGGAATTCACTCTTCAGTTGTCAAAATGCCGTCCAAGCAAGAAGAGCAGCGTATCAAAATTTTGCTCGCGCATCGCGAAAATTCGAGCTACTCGCACGCAAAGTTGGCAAAATCGCTAAAAGTAGCCAAATCAACCGTTACAAATGTAATTAAAGTGTTTGGGGAACGTTTGTCGACAGCCAGGAAGTCTGGATCGGGGGGAAATCGAAAACCGGAAGCCGCTGAGACGACAAAGAGAGTTGCCGGTAGTTTCAAGCGAAACCCTAACCTCTCTCTCCGAGATGCCGCAAATAAGCTGGGTGTATCGTCTACAACCGTGCATCGAGCCAAAAAACGAGCCGGACTATCGACTTACAAGAAGGTAGTGACTCCAAATCGCGATGATAAACAAAATACGACGGTCAAAGCGCGATCCCGGAGGCTGTACACGACGATGCTGACGAAGTTTGACTGCGTGGTAATGGACGACGAAACCTACGTCAAAGCCGACTACAAGCAGCTTCCGGGACAGGAGTTTTATACGGCAAAAGGAAGGGGAAAGGTAGCAGATGTTTTCAAGCACATGAAACTGTCAAAGTTCGCAAAGAAATATCTGGTTTGGCAAGCCTGTGGCTTGAAAAGCAGCATTTTCATAGCTTCCGGGACTGTCAACCAAGAAATTTACGTGAAAGAGTGTTTAAATAAACGTCTGCTGCCTTTCCTGAAGAAACACGGTTGTTCCGTACTGTTTTGGCTGGATTTGGCATCTTGCCATTACGGTAAAAAGGCCATGGAGTGGTACGCCGCCAACAACGTACAGGTGGTTCCCAAGGACAAGAACCCTCCCAACACGCCAGAGCTCCGCCCAATTGAGAAATACTGGGCTATTGTCAAGCGGAACCTAAAGAAGACCAAAAAAACTGCTAAGGGCGAGCAGCAGTTCAAGGCAAACTGGCTTTCTGCGGCGAAGAAGAAGGTGGCTGTACAAAATCTGATGGCAGGGGTCAAGCGTAAGGCCCGGAAATTCGGATTTGGAAAACCGGAAGCCTAACTGAATATTTTTCCTGAATTTTATACTAATTGAACTTGAAAAAGAAATTTAATTTGATTTTTTAAATAAACGATTTCACCGATTTACACGCGTTTTCCCTTGACCAAATTTTGACCGTATCACCCTTTAAATCGCATGTTATTCTCGATGGAGTTTACCGCTATGAGTGTAACAAATAGTAATGTTAAAAATAACTACTATTTTTCTAACAAACATACCAATCAAGCTATCGAACCGAAAGATGAAGGATATATCTAACATCTTGCATCACCTCGTAAATGTTGATAGAGATTAGAAATACCAGCCATTTAATGAAATTACTTTTCTTGCCTCAGTTTTGCGCAAAATTGTTACCCAACTTAATAAATTTCAAATGATTTTCACTGAGCAACTTTTTGCTTCCATTCGCATAGTACATTTAAAGTTCAACGTAAAGTTTTCGCCATCATATCGACTAGCAGCTGAGAAACAAGGGGGGTGCAATTTGCCCGCCATGAGAATTTTACCCCCATTTCCCCTACTCTATGCCTAGGGTAGTCGAGAATATTTCCATCCCCAAAGATGTTCTAGACTGGACCGGGAATCTAACCTACCGTCTCCGGCTTGCTACTACCGTGCCTTTCCTATCGTCTGTTCGGGTCATAATTATTGCGACTAATACATTGATCTTTTGTGATAGGGGGAGAGGTAGCTCATCGATTCTTCCGGTTCGCCTCCTAGCATCGTGCTATAAGGTACCAGGCGATAACCAGGGTAGCTGATCGATAGCTCGATGACGTCATTTCGTTGGCGTCTGCAATGGGAAATTCTCATAGCAGGCGTTGACGATGGGACGTTGTCGA